CAATCGTTATTTGGGTGCTGATATTCAATTTTAAATTCCGGTACGTAACTGATTTTTTGGGTGACGCTAGGGTGGTTTACCCTTAAATATCATCGGTAATTTGTAATTGAAATAAGCGATTGTCTAAAATAATTTTTTAGTATTTTTAATTAGCTATTTATGAAGACCGGTCCAAACTGGTCTCAGGACCGGGGACCGGTTAATCATGAGACCGGTTAAAAAAACCGATCCTTATTCGGTCTTTTCAATACTTGTATTGCAAATGACAAAACGTAATACGGTATTTAATAAAGTTTATAATTTCTAAGACCATTTTTATCAGTTTTGAATGAAACTTCTCTCTTTATTAGCAAATATATTATACGTAATTAAATTTCATTAAATACCATGTAGAAATTTGAGCGGTTCTCATTTCTAAACGACTTTTTGTTGATAAGTAAAATTGATACATTTTTAAGAAAGAAATATCAAAACGTAATTTTTTTTCTGTCATGCGTGTCAAATTTACGCGTTTACACACCATTATGTCATGTATGGCAAACCAAGTTTCTATATAATACAGCCAGACCTCGATATAGTCATTCTTGATATGGTCACAAATTATAGAAAATTTCTATTGTTGTTTTTACGTACCAATTATTATTATAAAACATAAGAAAATTAACTTCTGTATAGGCACTACCACCTTAGTCACATTAAATTTTGGCCAACTTGGTGATTATATCGAGGTTTGACTGTAAAGTCAAACCTAATGCAACGAAACAACGGTTTTGAGAAAGGTGTATATACAAAATCTGATAAATATTCATTTTTTTTTGTTCATTAGAAATTTTCATTTAGCCTATTCATTGTACCCCCTTTTTAACATCAATATTTTCATAAGCCTTTGACCAATCTATCTCAATAATATGAAACCAGTAATGATAACAATAATAACGATATACTTTTTAATTCGTTGTACATTTCTGGATACATTAAAGTGCTTACTTGCGTTATAGTTCCTAAATTATTAGCCGAGATAAACGATAACGCATAAGATAAAAAAAATTAAAAATCAATGCAACTAATTGGAATACATCATAGCAGTTATAGCTGCTCCTATGCAGCCACCATCTTCAATTGGAATGATTTTAGTTCGTTTATCTTCTTTTATTCGTTGAATGTCTCTAAGAGTTTTATTCATCCAACCTGAATACTTATGAAATCGATGATAAAGTGAACCATCCACCGCTACCCTGATTTCCCGTTCAACAGCAGGAAAATCTGGGCATTGAAGTTTTATAAGAGACGCGGTAGCTGCAGCAGATAATTGTGCAGAGCGTCTCGAGAATCGAATCACGAGTTCATGTACAGTTCGTCTATCATCGAGACTTGGTGATTTTTTGTACTCTTTTGTGAAAATTGTCAAGACCATGTTAAAATCCGATGATTTATCACTTGAAATATATACATATATATTAATAACGACTTTCAGAGAAATTTCGGAATATACAATATTAGCCCATACCTCCCGATGTCAGACATGTGCTTAGTAGTGAAATTATATGGTATTTCAAGCCCACTGGGCAAAATCCCATCAAACAAACCAAAATTATTCACTTGATCAACCATTGCTAATCTGACCAATTCACCCAAATAATAGCCACTAACCATTTTTTCAAATGGTTGAAATCCCGGCTTGTTACTTTGTAAATCAAGAATTTTATCATATTTTGTCCTTGGCAAGAAGTCCATTCCCATTAAACTCCACTCTGTATTAACAATCATGTACTCAGGTGAGTCTTTTGGGAACTTGCATTTTGAAATGGAAGATGTTTGACAAATACAGGAAGCGTTTGTTCCTGTGCCCAAGATTATAGAAACAATTGTGTTTTGGTCTTTGTAAGCATTTGCTACGAAAGTACCAACACAATCGTTTACTATGGCAGCAATATGAATATTCATACCCTATGGATTAAAGAAGGATGAGATCAAAACTTAACAGATGTATTGACCCTAATTCGTTATTTGTTTCACCTTGCGCTTAAAAGCCGCGTGCAGAAGATCAACAATATTTTGACCTTCTATTCCTGTGAGTTCAAATCCTTTACCCATTTGCATGACCGATCCATGATTAATATCTGTTTGACTTTTATTATTATTATTATAAATTAGAAAATTTCTCACATTATTATTATTATTATTTTTACAAACATAATGTACTCATCCTTACCGGATCGGAAAGCTAAAGGTAATACCCATAAACAATCCTTTCTCACTAATGCTATCTACTTGGATTCCGAGAAAATCCAATAATTCTTTAACCCCTGTTGCGACCCAATCGAGTAAATTTTCAACAGGACCAATTTTTAACTCTGCAGGGATTACAAACTGTTTTTGTTCAACGTCAGCTTTACCCTCACCAAGTAAGGTTACAGCCGCAACTCTTAGGTTGGTGCCTCCCAAATCCAAGGATAAATATGTACCAGTCTCAGCACCGGTAGGAAGACGTGATACATATGATGGTATCATAGTACTATGGTCTTTAGTCAGGCCATTGTGATATGCGACAATAAAACCATCGATAATTGACTGTATTTTATCCCTGTCGAGCACCATTTGCTTTTCTAATTCGGCCAGAGTTGGAGCAGACTCATCCATCTTTATCAGATTGAATACTGTCGGAAGGAGAAAGAATAAAATAAATAATACATACAAGTTTGTTTGATTGGACCATTTATATAGATAGGATCTACGTGTGACCGTTAACTAAAGCTCTGATTAACCTTTGAAAATATAAAAAAAGAATTTAACAATAAAAAAAATCCCGGATTTCGTCATTATGCATAAAGCAAATTCTTTGTATTCTTATGTAATGAAAAAAATTAGGAGAAACAAGCTTGATATAGCATAATTAAAGAGAGTAACACTTTTTTTTTTTGTATTATTTACGTTTTGATTTTAACTTCATGTGAGTATATTTAAAACAGAAAAGTAATTGTCATTTTTGGTTTATAAGATGTCTCATGAACAGGAATGAAACGTTACACTAAACAAATGATATAGATTTATGATATTAGGTAGGCTTCAGCTGATCAAAATTTGAAGAATCAAATCATTGTATATATAAACTTAATTGAGGAAATACATATTATTTGCTTATCTAATCTATCTGAATTAACTCTATTATTGGTATTTTAATTCCTCAGACCATTCTTCT